CAAAAAGACTAAGAACTATTCATTTGTGGTAGATGTGGACTTGATTTGCCAAGTACTTAAGCACATAACAAGCTTTAAAAGTGAAGAGACTAATTTATTTCAGCTTTATCCATCCACTCAGAATAATAGATACTAAAATATTAAAACTTGAAACAGGCTTGAATATCTTGTTGAATTTCAGCTGAATAATGAAGTGAAATAATTCAGTCCTACCTGAAACAAAACAGAGATTCAAGGGAAAGAAATAGCTTTTGCCCTCTTTCATTAGGCCATGTTTCAAGTAATTTTTGTCTCTTCCAAAGCTTTTTCACGACCCTTAGCTATGCAAATGCATGGATTAACACAGGAGGTAACTGCACCTCAAAATGCCATTTCCACAGAAATGGGTGGATGTTCCAAGAGACCTTTTTCTTAGAAAGATGCCAGTTAATGCAAAAGCTGTGTATTTGCCAGACCTGCCTATTATTCTTGATCACATTGCTTGTGCCATATGGATAGAATTAATAATATATTAGGATAGAACAAGATCACCCATCCCTGGAAGTGCCCAAGGCCAGGTTGGACAGGGCTAGTGGAAGCCTGGGCCAGTGGAAGGTGCCCCTGCCCATGGCTGGGGGTTGGAACAAGATGGTTTTTAAGGTCCCTTCCAACCCCAAGCAATTCTGTGATTCCTGGATCATGATTTATTTCCCATATTAGGCTGCAAACAAGAGCAGAGACTTCCCAGCAGAGCCACGTGCAACATCTGCATTTTTTCATCCAATTCCCTCCTCTTCCCCAATAACCACAGCACTGAGCCTCATACTGCATTTCTTCAGCTTAGAAACAAAGAGCTTATGTTGAAAAAATACTTCAAGTTCCCACCCTCTCTTTTTTTTTTTTTTTTTAAAGTACAGACATATCTTTATACTAAAAATCTCAGCAAAATCAGGGTCTATTATTCTTCTGTCATTAAAAGATAATTTTATGATGGGAAAATGCTAATTAATTTTGTCATGTTTTACCATTTCTTCCCAAAATAGAATCTTATCAGTAAGAAGAATAAGAAGTCCCATGTACCTGTGCTCCATGAAATAAGTAAAACCAGTTGATATTCATTTCTTTGTCAGCAGAGTGTGCCTAACCCAGTACAAATGGCTGAAAGCCCCTACTTGAGATATACATTTAATCATCTGGGCCTGTTTCTATCAGGAACAGATGGAGACAAGGTGATTAAATTTCTTCATTTTGATGGAAAGAACAAACACTTTCCTAGACAGCCATAAGACCTCAAACCACTTAAAAATAATGAGTACTAAAACATGATTTTCTCTAGGAAGAGTTTAAGTAAGGACACCTACAAGATTTCTTTTAAAATACTATTTCCTACCTGTATTATCAGATTATTTGTCTTTCATTCTCCTGTAAGTGGTCTAGAGAGGTGATCTATAAATAGATTCATAATAAATTACTCATCTCACCAAGATGAATTACTAATTTGAGATTCCTAAAATATCTTCCCTTTTTATTCTCACTAATTGGGAAATGAGTCATATAAATTTGGAAAATTTAATCAATTTGAAAATCACAGTGAAAGATTAAACATTTTCCTGATGCATTATCCACGGCATTTCCTTTTACTGGGCAATACTAAGACATGTAAACACATTATATTGCAGATGTTCTCCAGTCCCAAGCACTGACGAACACAGCCAATGAAAAAATCCTTTATCACTTTTATCATTAATCAAATGCACCTTCATCAAACAAGCAGGAAAATGCAACAAGCCTTGACCACACGGCAGCTGTCTCAAGAGGGTGATGCAGATTGAGTTCCAAGGAGATGGAAATACCTGCTCTTCTGTCCCTATTTTAGAAGGGGTAGCACTACAGAGATGGTACTTGGCACACAAACATTTCAAATTCCATCCAAACCCAACAGCCCCGTTTTTGTTGTGCTCCTTCCACAAATCTTCCATCATTTACCATTTCAGAAAACATTTGTGAATCTTCCTTATTCTGCCACAGAGGAAGTGATTACAAAAATCACTGCAAGTTTTCCTCCTGCTTAGGAAAGTTTATTTTCATCTCCAGCTTTTTAAATTCATTATAGCCTACTTTAAAATGCCAAAAGGCATTCAACTTGTCAGTGCCCGTAAATAATGGCAGATTCATGTTAAGCTATATTTACATATCAATTACTTGGGACTCAATACTACACATGCTCTTGAAAAATATTTTATTCTTGATTATAAATCAAGACAATTCAATTACACATTTTAAGTGCATAATTATGCATTTTAAATGCATAATTGTCCTCACATTTTCATAAATATTGGCAATATGCTATCAGTCTCTAAAAATGCCTCAATGAGATGAAAGAATGCATTTTCAATACTTTCAGTATTTTAAAAGATGAACAGTCATTTCACATTAATTCTGCAAAACTGCAAAGACATATTAGGAAAAAAGCCCTTGTAAAGTTCTATTACTCTATATTTTCTCACCGATGCAATGCTAATAAAAATGTGGGAAAATCCTAAATTACTACTGTAAACTCAAAACCTACAGTAGCTATAAAAGAACTATGAGCTGCTCCACTGGCTAAACGCAAAGTATTTGTACACATTTCTGAGGCAGAAAATACAGTATGCCTTTGAGAACTTTTTCCAGCTTTGCCAGATGTTTCTGTGCCCTCACAGGTCTTTTCTACCTCCAAGAATTCTCATTTTATGAGAGTAACCTTAAACTTCCAAAGCACGAGCATTATTGCTCATACAAAATTGCTAATCACAGCTTTAGGTTTAGGGCTATTCTTTGGAACACAAAAAGAAAGCTCCAGACTATTTTGCTGGCCACAAAGCAGGGTCAGCTGTTTTTGAAACATCGTGGATAAATGTTTGTTTAGGTAGTTTTTAAAAAAGTTGTGGTGCTGGACAGACTATAAATTCCTAAAACAAACTGCTGTAGGACTCAACTATCTTTTCTGAATAGAATGAAATAAATCATGAAATGTTTTGCCTCCTGCATCTTCAGCCAGTCAATGCCAGGAACTGCACAGCCACAGCATCAGTGCCTGCTCCAGGTCCTTTCCATGCTATCCTTTTCTTCATCTCAGTAGCGGAGCCTCACTAGCCCTGGTGTGAGCACTTAGTGTTAAGCAGTAATATATAAGCAGAATGTATAGTAGGAGGAGGATACATTTACAAGTCAAATGGTGGGCATGCAGATGTTATATAGCTTAGAGCTACTGAAATGCCTTTTTGTTTTAAAATTGTTTAAACTCAGTAAGCTCCATCACCGGAATTAATACCTGCTGTTTGTGCTGCAGCAGACGGTAGAATCTACTTAGCGCAGTGATAATCACCAGCCAAGTTGTGTATCTAAGACCTTACTGCACCTGCTTCTCTACCACTAACACAAGTTTCAGAACTAAATTACATCTCAGCCAAACCTTGATCATCACACGAAGCATGCGCTGCAGAGCAGCTCAAACACACACAAACAAATCTTGCTGTAATGTCCTGAGAGCAGCCAGAACTCACACAAAGACAAGCACAGCAGCGCCTACAGCACCAGACTATGAAGGAAACTATCCAGTTTTCTATCATGACTCTCAAGTCCCTTCTTAAGTCCTGTCTCCCTTCTACCCCAGGGAAGATATTTTGCTTCTCTGCTTTTCCGGGTCTGTTCTTTTAGGCATGTTAATGACTTTAAACTTATAAGATGACTAAGTAGGAGGCAGCCAGTTGTCTTCCTGTGGTACTTGGAAAGAATATACACTAAGACTTCTACAAACCAAAGGTCAGTGTGACCCAGGTCTATGGGAGTGCAAAATGGTGAAGGAATAAAGTTTTAAATATTGCAGATAACCCTGTCTAGTAGAGCTGAGCCATCAAGGTACTAAGTGGTTTGAAAATATACAAGGAGAGCTACAACTGCAAGGAGCCTGCAATATGAAGTTGACCTGTGCTTACTTTGTTCTGTAAGTTTTCTTCCTGATTTTGCTTTGAAATTTTGCTGCAAACAATATCCACCCCTATTTGAAAAGTCACAGCATTTTGTCAGTTACTACTGCACAGGGTATTCAATCACAGTGACGTAATTGTCACAGGAAGGGGGTATTTAGAGGAGCTAATATCACATCACAATGAGAAAAATGACTGGAAGCACAGAAGAAGCGAGACAAAGGAGATAAATCCACAAAAAGAAGCAGTATGCTGAAACGGGCTTTAGCAGTGATGTTGGGTGCAGGAGACGGGAAAGATGATCAAAGCCCTTTGACAGATTTCCATTAGTAAAAATATCAACAGCAACTAAGTTCTGGCTACACACAAAAGCAGAACTCCATGCTGGCAGGATGGTCAGGCTGGCTCTGCTCCAAAGCCCACGCCTGATCAATATTCTCCCAGCAGATATTCCAGTTCTGTCTGCAAAGGGGGACTAGTGACCTCAACATGCCAGCATGCATCTCTAGAAATAACTTCTACTCAATACACACAAACTAATGTCTTCTCCTCTTGTTCAAGAAAGAAAAGAGCAACTGCACCTCCATCTGCAAAAGGAAGTGTCAGAATGTTCCAGGCTATGATTCCAGAAAGGGAATGTTAATTAAACACAGACTATCCTGCAGTGCAGAATCAGATATTTTAGAAACCTTAAGCTTAAAGGAGTACAAATGAGCCTTTAGAATCAGCTATTTGCTTAATTCCCATTTTCCTTCTCAGTCTGCCGTGGTACCACACTGCTAGAAATGACATTTTAAGTATCTAAATCTCACAAATTCCATTTTAGGAGTGAAGATGTTCCAAGTTCAACACTTCAGTGCCCAGCATTGCCACATCTGCACTTTGGTGTTTCATACTGAAATAATTTTCCTCCCAGGTCGCCCTTTTGGTAACTCATCCTCAGTTTTCACACCATCATCTGTATTTTTCACTATTCATAGTCCTCTAGCAGGACTCCTATGGTCCCACACAGCTGCACAGAGGAAGTTTCTAGTCCAAACCCAACGTTTTTACCTTTGGATCTGTTGTCAGCAGCTTGAATGCTTGGTACACTTGTGCTTCTTTCACACCTCCACCGAGATCCAAGAAGTTGGCTGGCTTCCCACCGTTCAGGGATATGATGTCACACGTTGCCATTGCAAGCCCAGCTCCATTGACTGTAATTGCAAACAACAAGTGCTCATTTTTCCCATGAAAGGACATAAGATTTGTGAAAAGGCTTAAAATGTATCAGCACAAGCACGTAACATGGCTCAAAATGTTACATATCTATTTCTAAATATGCCAGTACCTATTCAAGGATACACAATGCAACAAATAATTAAAAATCTGGTGCAAACACACCAACACTTGGGTTTTTTTAGGACTAAGGTGTGCACCTTCCCCTAAGCATGTATGAGGACTGGGATGGACACTGGGGGAAATGCAAAACCTGCTGATTTTATTACAAATAAAGAGACATAAAAACTTTTGGGAACAGTGATTGCATCACGAGACATGAAAGACAAATTGACTCCTTAAGCTCCCCTCCCAATACTCTGGTAGCTGTAGATGATGCTTTGTATTACTGTAACATGGACAACTCAGTTTTGGGGACAGATCTCAGACTGCCTTTTATTTTACATTTGCATCAGTCTAGAAGCATTCCCATGGGCAGGAGCATCCTCTAAGTGAGAATTTTGTGTGCCCAGTAAGTTGCTCCTGCTGGACAAAGGTTCCCCCGTCCCTTGGAATTCAACAGAAATACCAAATACTAAAAAAATTCCATAGTGTTGCCAATTGTTGTTTGGGTTTTGGGGTCTTTTGGCTGGTTTTGTTTGTTTTGCTTTAAATTGAAATTAAACTCTCACTGTGATTTACTGAATCAATTGCAATACATTGCTAGAATCTTCTAGATTAAAGTACATATCTGAGCAATATAAATGCATTTTCTCACCAAGCTTAGAAAAAATGTCTAATTCAATTAGATTAATGATAAAATGTGGTATTGGCTAAAAGAATTTCTACAAAATAAAAATTCTGTAGAGCACAGTTGACTTTTTTACTTATCTCTTCTAAAACAGTAGAGTAATTTCTGCTCTAAGGAACTTCGGGAAAATAAAAACCTGTCACTTTCCTTTTAATAGCCAAGCAGATTCTTCAGCAGCCTTCCTTAAAGAGAAATGGAGATCACTATTCAATTTTAAGTGGGAATATCATGTTTATACACACATACTTCAGCAGTGCCTTAAGTACCACAGTCTCAATTTGAAAATCTTGATGATTTATCTTGTTATAATTACTGGAAAGATCAATTGCATGAGCTTAAAAGTTCAGGCTTCCTCTTTAGCCTGACACCACTCGTGTCCTGCCTGTCTGCTGTGGCCATCATCACACTTACAACACAATTTTAGTTTCATTCCTGCAAGAGCTTGGGGAAAGACAGACACCCTCAGCAAAACAGACTGAAACACTGTCAAGGGTGGACTGAATGTCAGAATGTAAACAAAGTTTATACACTGAACAAGTACGAATTTGTCTTCAAACGTCTTTTGGATGTATTTGTTCTTACCAAAGCAAGCAATGTTTCCATCCAGTCCTATGTATTTTAAGTCATATTTGGCAGCTTCGTTCTCTATGGGCTCATTTTCAGACTTGTCATCCATGGCAAATATTTCTCTTTGTCTGAATTCTGCATTGTCATCAAAGTTTATCTTGGCATCAAAGCAAACAACTAAAAGCAAACAGGAGAAAATAAAACAAGGTGCAGGCATTTAGAGTTTACAGTCAGTCAGAGTTTCTGAAATATTATGGCTACTGGAGCAGGGAGGGGGAGAAGGTTGTTTTGGGAAAGATGGAGCCTCCAGCACGTGATCAGCTGAAGTTCATTGAGTCCAGCAGCAAAGGGCAGGCTTCCCTTAAATTCTCTGCTGAGAACACATTATTTCGTTAAAGATCTCAAACAACATGAAGCCAACATATGTTAAAAATGACCAAGAGGCTACTTTTAAATCAAGAAAGTTTAAAAAGAACTTCTCATCAATATCAACATCCACTAGGATGGTAAAAACAAATCAAGATGCAGCTAAACCTAACTATAAGTAATAGATAAATGTCTGGCTAGCAGCTGGAATATTCACATAAACACACCAGTAACAGAAATGCCTGTAGAGTGTTATTTGCCTATTTACTGACTCATTATTTCTATGAGTTTGCATAGGCAAACACCTCATTAGATTAAAATGTTGTAAGTAAATGTAAGACTATATACTTATCATATTACTATTTAAGTAATTTCACTTGTACTATATCTAAATTAAGATTACTGACTTAAGTATAATTGATTTGTCAAGGCCAACCAATCAGATTTAAGTGCCTTTAAATCCAGAAAAAAACAATAGTTTTTCTATCTGCTGGGTTTTTATTCATATTGCCATTGAAACACGCACATGGTACATGTGCACATGTTCATGAGCACTGTACACACCTGGAGGTCAATTACAATTAAAAAGATAATTTTAGTCTTTCAAAACATTTACACAAATACGGGAGTTGAAACTCTATGTCTTGATTTCTATTGGGTTTTCTTGTTTTGTTTTTTTTGATGTTGATGTGGTTTGAGTTTTATGTTTTTAATGTCTGACTTGTAACTGATAGCAGATTAAATGAAAACAGTATCAAATTTCGTTTCAGTGACTGCAGTTTCAGAAAACTGTTCATGAGTGTGTATAACAAATGTCTTGGAAGAGTCTAGAGTAGATCTCACCTGGTCAACCATTTTGGAATGTGCCAAAAGCAGAAATACCTGCAGTTCATGATATGCTTCTACTGTACCAGAGCTGCTTTAATTTTATTTTTTAACAATGAATTAGACCATTTTTCTTCTTCAAAATTTCAGTTCCTTAAATTGCACAAAACAACTCAAAGCTGGAGTACAACTGCAGTTTCAGAGCTCTGTTTACACACAAACATCCTCGATGTCACATTAATAGAAACTCATTTCTACAGAACATTCATCTTTAACAAAGGCCATGCTGTACAAAGTAGCTGCAAAAACATGTATTAATATTTATCAAACCATTTTCACTATCAAAAGTACATTGTTACATGCATGAAGGATTATACAAATGGATTTTTCTTCTAAACAAATATCAAAGAAAGCGCCAACAGTTATATTCATGAAGTACTTGTGTTATTATTGCTAGTGGTGTAGGATTTTTGTCATCTGCCAATTCAACAGTTTACACTGAGAGCAAACAAAAAACCAAAAAAAACCCCAAAGCAAACCAAACAAAAATGGGCATAACAGGAGTCTGACCCACTACTGTTGACAAAGAATTTGCTACAAAATTAATACATAAAACAATGTAGCTTCAAATGGAAATTCACACAAGCGAAAAACACAAAACACAGCAAGAAACAAATCCATCTTATCCATTACTTTGACAGGAATAATGGTCTTCATACAGAGACATATTTTATCATTAGAAATAACTGCATTAAGCTACTCAAATGTTCCTCCATTTGTTTCATCTTTATTCTTCTTAAAGACACTTCAGATGGAGAAACTGCTAGCAAAAAAGGAATAAGCACAGGAAGACTCCTGTGCATGTCTGCTGGTAAGATAGCTTTCACAGCTTGAAACCCACTCTGTTTCTGCTCCTCAGCTTCCTGGATGCAAAACACATACAGAAAAACCTCAGAGAAAAGAGCAGAAAAACTCCTACCATCCCTCAAATTAAGCCCTTCTCACTAAATATGCACAGCCATTCCAGAAAAGCCAACTTGGTATCTTAGCCAAATAATTATTTCCACAGTGACATCTCATAGTGTTCCACGAAGGATGCAAAGTGTGGGTCTTTAGGAATTTTAAGGACCACATTTGATTTTCTCTCATTTCCAACTCCTCTCCTTTATTTGTCCCTACTCGTCTACCAATTTCCCTTCTTGGGTCTCCAGCACCTCAGTGATGCCCCTGTTGTGTTACTTGTCAGTGCTGCCTCTTCCATTTTCACTTCCTCCTCAGTGTCCACTCACCAACACCCAAGACACACTTAAAGGTCTTCTCTGCAGGATTACACGGCTGGGGAGATGTAAAGACTGAACTGGGGTTCTGTCCCTTGCTCTGCCAAAATAACACGACAGCAAAGTGCTTCTCTCCCAGTCACCTGAGCTAGTCTTGAGCCAGTGAGTGTGAACACCAGGACAGCCTGATCCTGGCACAGAGAGCTGACCTGGAGCTTGTTTCTCTGCCTGACTTTAGACAATTGTCACTGATGTCCCAATTTCTGTCACCTGACCGAGCAAAAGGACTCCTGGGTGCCTTCCATACTGCCCTGTAGTGTTAAGGTACCTTGGTCAACTATTCTGCTACAATTGAACAAGATTCTTTGCACCCAATCTCAGTAATTCTGGCAGCATTAACACAACCCCCAAACAAAACCACTAAACAAAAAAATATCCAAACCTGAGAAAACCTCAACTTTGTACAAGAGCAGAAGAGCAGAAAATGTTTCTGTTTCTCACCAAGCAGAACATGTAGGAGTCAATACTTCCAGTATTTGGATGAAACAACAAAAGGTACTGAAATATAAAATCTGCCATGGGAATATTTATGAATGTTGCTTAAATTACATTACAAAATGAAATTAATGCAAAGCTGTTGCTACATCCTTCTATGCAATTTAATTTATAGTTTGCATAAATAAAGAACTATAATGCATTCATTTGTTTCCTTCAATTTCTTACCTTGCCCTTCTGGAGTTTCACCAAAGGGATTCACTTCAACCTGAGTGGCATCAATTTTCAAGAAAAGATTATACAGCTTCTTAATTTGATCTGCTGCCTAAATTTGATCAAACGATTTACAATTACCACACAGAAGAATAAAAGTAAATGTTTTCAAGGCAAAGGTAAACCTTTATAGATTATTTTTAATGCATTTAATTGCGAACCAGCTCTAGATAATTACTGCTTTTATTTCTGTTTTCTTAACCATATTCATAGTCTCTTAAATAGCTATAATGTAGCATTATTATACTGCATAACACTTTGTAAATGTGCATTTAAAGACTACATGAACTGGAGACCTTCTACAAAATAAACATTACAATTACTATGACAAGTTTAATTTGGTATGTGACTGTTGGGCACTAACAAAATGATGTATTCTCCGGTGTGCTGAGATCTGAGTTGAATTCATGTTAATCAGTCTACATTCAGAAACCATAAAGCAGCATGTGCACATTAGTGACCCAGGGAAAAAAATACCTATTTCTCCCTCCTACATCAGCCTGCAATGTTTTCTTGAAGGGCTTCAATCCAGAGCATGCTTGTTTACTTGTTGCTTGTTTCCTACCACCCCTCACCATCTATCTCAGTGCCCAGTTGTGTGGCCAAAACTGACAACCAACTTCCAAATCCTTTGTTCTTGTAACGTTCTTCCACTAATAGAACAACTTGAAAACAGCAACACGAGCACACATAAAAAACCCCTTTGGTTCACTGCACACTGACAACCTATTAGCTGAAATAAGTTTGCAGATGAAGTGCACTAATAAAGAACCACTCAAATTTGTCCCCTCATTACTGATCAGCTAACTGAAGCACACAAGCCAAAAATTTGGAACCTCTCCTAATAAGAGAATTAGAATAAAAAACCCAGAAGTCAGCTTTCTCCTACAGTGTCAGTTGTATGAAAGAAAAAATTACAACTGGAAAGACTAAAAACCAAACTCAGGTTTGCCCAGAGGGGTTGTGGACTCCCTTGTCCCTGTCAAGGCCAGACTGGATGTGGCTTTAAGCAACATAATCTAGTGGAAGGTGTCCCTGCCCATGGCAGGGGGGTTGGAAGAAAATGATCTTTAAGGTCTCTTCCAACCCAAACCATTCTGTGATTGTGTGATAAGAGACTTTAAAGAGTTGCAGTTGGGAAGCAGCACACAAATCACTTAGGATGCCTTCCCTGCTCAAAATTTACCAGTTGAAGCATTCTCAGTGGTTTTGACTTAAAGAAAATTATCAGTTAGGAATGTGCAGCAGTTTCCTTGGCACAAACACTGGGATGGACACGCTGCCCCAGCATCACATGGGTGAGGCTGTGTCAGCAAGTGCCACTGGGGAGGAAGCTCCATCCTGAAACCCCCATTGACTCTGGGCAACCTGAAAAGCTGTTATTGCCACAGGAATCTGCTGTAATTGTACCAGACCACCAAAATCCCTTCACTTTCATTAAAGGCTGCTCCATCTCTCAGCACCTCTCTGAATCAGGCAGCTTAATGTCAACACTTCTCTTTCTCAAGGTCTCTACAAGTGCTGAGCCCCTTCAAGGCAAAGCATAAAATCCCAACTTAGAACTGGTGAATATATAAGTAAATACTAGGATTTGTCTGAATAAAAGCTATGTCCCTATGCCTCAGAAAATTCCTTTGAGTTAACAGCATGAGGAAAGAAATGCAGTCCTGCAGCATTATTTAAATGTGTTGTTCAAAAGTCCATATATTGCTGTTAATTATTAAGTACCAGAACTCTTCAAGGGTTGAAAGGTTCTACATAATCATTCTTCCTCATTAGATATACAGCTAAATCTTCAAATGTGTGTTAATCAACCTAATGATTATGCATTTGTTAATTGCATGTTGGGATAGAAAATAATTAAAACTGCTGAATTAGAAATAAAGGAGTTCTAAAAAAATGACAGTTTGATACTGCAGAAACAAAAACATGCCAAAGTAGATTAAATGAGCTCTCTCCTCTGCAAAATGGTTCATATAGGCAAAAATATATATTAAACATATATATGTAGAAAAGAGATACTGAAAAGACAACAAGCTGGCAGCTTTTTGGTTTTGAGCTGAAGATTAAAAAGAAATTTAAAAGGCTTCAGTTACACAGCCAGATACAATTTTACTTCTCTCCTTATAAAGGGCCTATTTTCAAAAAAACCTCTACCCATGTCCCTCCCTGAGCTCCAGTGGAATTCCAAAGAAAGCAAAAGAATCCCACGTGGTGTAACAGCCTGTTGTCATCGATTGCTTCAAAGGCCAGGGACCCTCACCTCAAAACAACAAGGACCTGATTCAAACTGCTAATGCCTGATGACAATTATATAGGTGCAATTTAGTATTTAGAATGTCAAAATGATCCTGATTTAATGGACACTGGGCCTTTCTTGCCCTTTGGAAAGCATTTAATGTATAGCTGGGCTAAAAAGTCTTCAGTCCAAACCGAGGGAGTAGAGCCAACTTACCTGCTGTTGCAAAGGTCCTTGGAAGCCCAAATTTTTTGCCATCTGCAAAGCCTGACGATCCTTTATGCCTTCAAAAATGTCTATTTCCTCCTGCAACAATAACATGCATAAATATAACTAAACATGCAATCTGAATGGAGATTTAGAACTTCAAAAGGAAAACACTTAGTATACATTTGCAAATTAGTAATTAAGGCCTGGCTGTTTGCCAAGGCTCCCCGAGACTGAGGCTGTGGCAGCTGCCTATAGGGGATGTTATAATTACCACATCGACTACGAAACAGTCCTTCCAAAAAATATATAATTCTTCAGGGTGGCACACTGACAAGACAACGTGACACAAGTTTTCACTTTTAATTACTGTACAGATGGCGTTGACGAATATTTAGTCTGTTAATTTTTATGACACGTTCTGGAATATTTTCAAGGCAGTGAGTGTCACTGCCCAGTAACACTGTGAAGTTGATATAATTTTAAAGCACACATTAAATATTTTTACAATTTTTTGAATAATTACACTTGATTGTATCAATTCTTTTCTCAGCTGAATAGCTTGTCTATTCATTATCTTGCCACAGTAACACAACAAATACTTAAATGTAGTCATTGTTAGAAAAGTAATTACAACAGTTGTATTTCAGATGCAAGAGTCTTGCAGGTACAAAGAAATAATTAACAACTCTGTCAATTAGAGAAAAACAGCCACAGAAACAATAACTATATTGGCACCAGCCTACTTGTGCACCTTCCTGAGAGCAAAACTCACTCATAAAACATTTCAGATATAAAGTTTAACATGTCACACAACAAACAGATTTAAGCCCTTTTTCTAATTGAGTTGGAGACCAAACACTAATAAAATCAGATGTTAAACATGCTTCATCTACTGGATAATAAGTTTGATCCTATATTTGATGAAACACATTTTTTATGCTTTTTACTGTCTTCATACATAGAAGGAATAAAAATGGAAAGAGAAAAAGGAAAAAAAATTCTTTTGGATAACTGACATGGAACATTTTTAGGGTAAAACATCATTTCAGTACCTTAAAGATAAGTTCTGGGCTAGTTACTGCAACCTCCTCTATGTCCACACCACCCTGGGGACTGCCAACCATGACAGGTCCATTGCATGCTCTGTCCATCAGAATTGCAAAGTAGGTTTCCCTGGAAATATCCAGTGCTTCTGCAACCATCACCTACAATTGAATAGAGGGAAGAAAAGAAAACATCAAGACTGCTGCCAGGTCCTTCTGCATTGCCTTAAAACGCAGCAGTTTGACACTTGTTATCCTGAAAAGAAACGTTTGTTCCACGGCTTTTACAAGGTATTACAACCCAGACACCTTTTCCCCAAGAAATCCTCTCTCCCTGAATGAGACAGTCCTCTGGTGCTGCTGTTCTTGCTGGGGCATGCAGCAAGCATGTAAACCTAACTGTTGGGGTTTTTCCAGGAAAAGAATCAGAGCTGCTGCTGAGTCCATAAGGGAGACACATTAAATTATGACATTACTCTGTATTACATTTTTATTCCCAAAAGGCACTTTAATGTGCTGCCTCGAGAAAAACTTGACTCATGAGGGACTCAGTTTGCAAATCCCATGGATGCAAGGGTGGCCACACTGGCTTTCAGCTGCACCTCACCAGTAGCACTGTTCCTCACCAGTAAATCCTCAGGCTCAAGTTTTCTCCCTCCTTCTGACAGAAGACCACCCAACTCTTAAAGCCCTGAATTCTTGCCCTAAGTATTTCCTAAGAAAATGGTTTTACAGATAATTCTGCCATCCAGCTTTTTCCTTTCAACTTAGAGAGTCAAGCAAAAGTGTGTCCTTTAGATGTTGGCACAATCTAGAAACATAGAAATTTATTTTTCTAAAATGCTACCAGTTTCTATTTATAATATATAAGCTAAAAAGCCCTTTTGTACCAGTATCTGAGAGATACCTCAGCACACAACAAAACAGATGATTCAAGTTCTATGTTTGGAATCTATAACTACTCACATTAAAATTTGGGGAAACTGGCCCATATAAAGCCTTTGCTAAAATTTTTCACTCCTCACAAAAAAATTACAAAGTCCTTGCCATGTTAGTACTGCAATAACTATACTTTCCTCTTCACCTAAACTTTCAATTGTTTCAATAGTTTAACAACAGCCAATATGGCAGTAGTTATATCAACTACCTCTGCTTTAATTAGCATTACAGCTTCTGCTGATGATTATCAATTATATTCTTCCTTCACAGAGCTACTATTTCCCATCTTTCAATGGAACTGGCAGAAATCAGAAAATCACTTCCCTAATATCAATACAATCAGGAAGGATTAAATGGCAACATCTTTCTAACACAGTCTGTTTATGAAGTGACAGTTTTGAACAATGATTGCAGACAAAAATCATCACTGAATGAACCATCAGGTGAAATTCATTCTAACAGTCAGCAGATCTGAGACCTGTAGCCTTAAAATTCTGCCTGTTATTCCATCAAATGAGTATTCCTGGGGTTTTCACAGTTCAGGGGCTATGAACAAGAAAGATGAACTGTACTTTCCCCCAAGTTGTTTTTTTGACATTCTATTCCAGAGTACCTAAGAAGGAATGTACATACCTTCTGCCAGGCTGTGTTATTAGAGAACAGGAGGAGAAAAGAAGTAAGTAGTAAGTAAGAGACAAGGAATTAAATAAAGCCCTCTGTGCTCAGAATGGAAGGAAAGATGAATTTTTTTTTTTTTTTTTTTTTTTTTTTTGACTTGGAAGAAACTTGCTTTATAGTAATTTTGTTTCCTTCTACTTTTACCTCACTTTATTCCCAGAACAGAGGGGGATGTAAAGGAATAGTTCAAATAAGCGACTGCTCAAAAGGAAACTAAAGAAAACTGGGGTGAAGGAGAGAACTAAGAATGCAGAAAACTACTGTTCTACTTGAAAGCATCTGCCTATTTTAGACTACTACAGAGGGATGCTAAAAGCCAACTTCAGAGACATAGCTTGGCTACTTGCCAAGATTTGTCAAATTAACAAGCAAAGACAGGGAAAGCATCCTTGATTTGCTACTATTTTTACCTGGATCCACGTTTTCACCTTCTCACATATCCTGCATCAATGCATCTGAAAAATGTGAGTCAGCTGCTTTAGACACAGGTCAAATAAAACCCAAGTGGTCGTCCTGGGTCTTGCTGGAGCTGCTCAGTTTCCCCAGAGCTCAGGATCAGGGCCAGACTTAGGATGGGAGTACTCTCAGTGAGTCTTGAGGAATACATTTGCAGGCACAGCAGGTGGGACTTCCATTATTAAATCAAGTATCTTCAACTGCTACTTCTAACTGGACTGATTGCCCTCACTGTTGCTAATTAACCACGTCAACATTGTCAGATACTTTTCTGTCTTAATTCACGAAACTATTGAGAATTTAATTTGTAGCAGGCAACCTTAGAGCAAAAATTGTCAGACTGTACAATATCTCTAATTTCTCCCAACAAAAAACCCCTATCCTTCACCACCCTCCCTGTCTGCTGCAGAGCAAAGTCAGGGAAATCAGTGTTCAAGGTCTTTAAATATTATTTAAGTCTACCCATCATTCACACAACTAAAGTAATGCAAACACATTAATGAACAGTTAAGAATAATGAAATTGAATCTACAGACTGTTGACTCTTCTCACATTTTGTCTGTTTTGCTTTTGATAAAGAATGTGAAGCATCATTATCTGTTTGCCACATCAGGTTTATATTTAAAATGTCTTGGGGGAAAAAATCAGTTTTCATTAAAACTTCCCAACAACTTCAAGCTTTCCTTCTTAATAACACATCATTACCTAAAAGTTTAAGTCACACATCTAATTCCAAAAGGGTAACTGTAACAGCTTTTTTTTTTTTTTTTTTTTTTAATGCAGAATCAAATATGCAAAATGTTCATTCTGTTATTGCTTGGAGAGAAAACACAGGTAGTGAATTCTCAGGTTGTCATGATAAGAGAAGATTGTCTTCTCAGATAACCACGCTCTCCAAATTCCAAGCTGCCATAAGAGGATTTTATGTAAACTCACAAAACAGCTTCCAAGTTATGAGGAATCTGAGGAGACTGCTATTTATTTGAGAAACATCAATCTGAGGAGGCAGAAACACACTTTAAATTCTGTAGCAGGTGCACAAACTGAGAAAGCAGCTGAAAACGCCATTTTCTGCTCCATAATTATTCTAATTGTAGAAAATTCCTGTCTTCCATTCCTTCCTTACAAATACATGTAAAAGGTACGTGACTTTCACTCCCCTACTTGACACTAGCTCATTGATTGCCTCACAGAAAATGACATAATAACTATTTTCCTACTTAAAAACCCTTATTACCTATTTTTTAAAAAACATGATTGTTTTAAAACGCTCAGACTTTCAAGAACACCAAAAAGTTTAAACCCCACAAAACTTAAAAACATGCTTTTACTTTCCATTTTGAACAGCAATTTTCTTTAAGTACATGTACACACAAACTCTTACACACACACACAAAGCACATGCCCTGAAACAGAACAAAAATGCCAGTTATTACTTCTCAAGTTCCCCCCCCCTTGCTCTTAGCAAACTCAGAGAGTCTGCCTGTCATTTTCTGTGCACAAAGTTCCCACTGCATTAAATGATATCTTAGATGTAACTAAACTTATATTTTTAATTGCATTACTGTAGTTTCTCCCTTGATTACAATTTCAGTATTCAACATGGTAGTCCTGATGCTACAAACGTGAATGCCTCAACCCCTTTAACTACCTTGAAGATCTCTAAGCTAACTTTGTGAAAGATAAATGCTTTTATAAGATATAATTTTGCTGGGAAATAGCCTTTTGAAGACCTAAGTGCATAATCTGAAATACACTTTCTTAGCTATCTAATAGGCTTAACAGTGGGCAAACTGCTACATAGTGAATTAATTTATAGCAGGATGTATGCTCTCACCACAACTTACCAAGAGTCAAGATCTCAACATCACAAATATAAAACATGCTATTTTAAAAGTCACCATACTTTTGAAAGCCAGCTCTACAATCAGAATGGAAGTCTGTGTCAGTAGACGAGCAGCTTCTCCCAGCGAAAAGCATCACACTGGTTTATCACGGATCAATATTAAAATACTTGTAAGTTGTGTCCTGAAAGGTTCCCATGCAACTGTAGAGCAAAGGAAAAACACACAGTCTATCAAGGCTATACACAGTCCTGCACCACTAAAATAAATGCAGCAGTGCAAACTTCACTGTCAGCTTCACCTATGCCCCAGCTGCTTCCTGCTGACCATTGTTTATTCACACAAACAATGTGTGGATGGGGAGGGAAGGAATCACAAGTTAAATCTTCTATAGCTGCTCTATGTTAGTAATCTTAATATAAATCCTTTGAATAATCCATGTAAAAAACCCCCAACATCCACACCCCTTCTTTCATTTCTATTCACTTCAAAGAAAATCAGAAGTTTCTTTTTCAGAACTGACTCTGTAACTGATGCTTGCACTCTGGCAAAAGAGGAGAATTTCTGTATTGATGCATTCAAGGCAGGTCGACTGGGGAAAAGAATAAAACCTAAGAATTTATAAAAGAAAGCTGCTTTTACAATACTAATTTTTCCAGAGCGCCTAAATATGGGAAAGGTGTATCCTTTCTTACACTCTTAGTATTATCAGGCTCTCCAACAGGCATGCCTTAATGCTAATACTGCTCCTCCTTTTGAATATGTAGCATTTCTTTCTAACAGCAACTATGAGGAGTGAGAGTAGTCTGCTCTCCTTGCTCCCCAAGAGAAGAACTGCCTGAGCACCTTCCTCCAGCCCTCATTAGACAGGATCTTTCCAGACAGGTGTTCCCCTTCTATGCTAATACACCAAGCTGTTCACAGGATAGGAAATGTGAACTGCAGTTCCTTTCAGTTCATGCCAAATTATCTTCTGGCATCAGATACACAAACCTACATGAGGATTCCTGCTTAGTAAAACAAAGCAAGACATAAACACACACATACAGCAGAGAGCCATTGGCTAGGATTTCCTGACTGATGGAATTTAAATAATGTGAAGGAGAATCTTGCTGAAGGGCTATCTGGGCTTCTCTTGTTCAGGCCAATACAGAGCAATTCATTTATGCTGAAGTGAACCTTGGCCCCTTGTAGTGGACACCATCATAGGAAGATGAACTCCCACACATTTGCTGAACCCCATTTTATTCTGTATCTGCAACAAGTAGGAAGACGCTTTTTAAAATTTGAGATCTCTTCTCATGCAAACCCTTCAGTATTTAAAGGGGGCTTGCAAGAAAGAGGGGGATGAACTTTTCAGTAGGGCCTGCTGCAACTGGTCAAGATGGTTTTAAACTAAAAGAAGGTGTTTTTTTTACAATGAAGGTGGTGAGGCATTGACACAGAGCCCAGTGGTAGATGCTCCATCCCTGGAAACCTTCAAGGCCAGGTTGGATGGGGCCCTGAGCAATCTGATCTAGTTGAAGATGCCCCTGCTCATTCCAGTGGGCTTGGACCAGATGAACTTCAAAGATCCCTTCCAATCCAAACCACTCTGTTATCCTGGGAAAGTCACCTATCACTTTACTAACAGTTGCCCAGAGCTGAGGGTGCATGAAATACAGATAATACTATTACTAGAGGTAATCATGGATACATTACTTCTGTAAGCAGAATGTCAATAAGCATGAACAAGTTAATGCAAAGTGCAGTTATTTTAGCATTTAGTATGTTTTTGATGAAGGATGAGCCTATGACACAGGATTCCCTTCAACATAGGCAGCAGATATTAATACATTTTTCCAGTACTAGGTATGCCAAAATTAATAAATAAAATACATACACACAGAGAAAGAAAATGTAACATTTTCTTTTTTTCATCAATTAGATGTAATAAATCAGGCACTGGAGAAGGAATGAAAAAATCTCACAAAAAATCCTACGTCATACACCTCAGCTTATTAATGCAAAATTGTACCTGAACACAGTTTTCAACTTGCAAGAGGTCAAAATCTTACCTTTTTAACTGTCACACCATCCTTTGGAGTTTGTTTTGTTGACAGATTGTACCCGATCATCTGTTTAGCAAGCTGTTCAACAGTCTTAGGGCTATAAACAAAGGAAAAATGTTAGCTTATTGGAAGATACTAAAAGAAAGAGTCCACAGCTATTGTAAAGAGTTTAGATATTATAGGAAAAGCAATTTATTTATGCTTTTTCAATTTTAAAGACTTACTCTTTAGTTAGATGAACTCCTCCTTTCAATCCACTATTGAAAATACCTTTTCCTCTCCCTCCAGCCAGAATCTGTGCCTTCAGAACGATTTCCTTCGCCTCTGTAAAAGAAAAGCACATTTCTATTCTCTGGTGTGCTATTTATTGAGCTTATTAACCCAAGTTTAAAAAGCACTTCCAGGTTGGACTATTTTAAAAGAACAAGAGATTGTTCATAAATAGTGAGCAGTAAATCAAGTGTCAATTCAGCATTTTTATAAAGCAACCTTGCAAAAAAAGAACTGCTCAGGGAAGTTAAGGAATGAATATACATTGCTTATTAAATGGATAAATATGCCATTCTATGGATCAGAACCATGCTGATAATGCTACATGGCCTGCACAACAAACCATAACCTGCACAGTTCAATGGATTATATTCTGGCATGGTTTCTAAAACAGGAATCAGATCATATTTTGTCTTGAATACACAACAAATGAATGCTCATCAAGGCAAATAAACCTCATTCCTTGCTCTGAACACATGGAAATGTACGGATGTGGCCCTAAAAGGAGAAATCCCTGTCTCCAAAGGGCAGGTAAATGCAGAGCAAGGGCAGGAGCTGTGAAATCACTTCATCTGTTCCTGAGGCATCACTTGAGTCTTTGGCAATTTGAGTACAACAGTATCTTAGTAACGAGAAAGTGCAGCGAGACACGGTGACAAAAACGATTGCACCACGTCCGACATTCCACAGAGAAGCAATCCTGACATCCCTACAGAGTAAAACAAGGGGAGAAGGGGGAAAGAAAACAAAGCACCAAAGAAACCCGTCGCTCGTGATCTCTGCAGCTCCACGGATCGCAGCAGCTTCTTGGACCGTGAACACCTGCCAGGTGCCTGTGAGATGTTTATTAACATGCAGGGCTGCCACTTGGCACATTTATCATAATACTGCCAAGTTCTCTGCAAAGTCTGAGATCCCAATATTAACATATCATTAAGTGTGCCTAGAAAAGGCCAACGTTGTTACCCTCTTCTAGACTCTGTGGAAGTCTCTGATTTCAGTGATGTTTAGATTAGGTCACATCTTGAATCGTAATATTCTATCCAAGTATGAAGAAAACATGAGAATTTGCTGTTAATTTGACAAATTTACTGTTTAATCAGCAAAGATGATAAAGATACTTTCATTCAAACAAACCCAGGCTTTCCAGGTTGTAAGAACATTTTACAGATTATTAAATCTAAGTTGAGAGGTGCAGCAATTTTTTGGTGCAGGCCAGCTCTGACACAGCATCATTTCAAAGTTCCTGTATAATAAATTTCAGCAGCTAGGAAGAAAGTTGGATCTTAGGACAGAATAAATATTATCAAACAAATATTCTATTTCCTGCATTAAGATGGGAATGATTTTTTAACATAGGTATTGTACTTTAACCCATTTATTATTATCATTATCACCATCATCATTATTAACAAAAGGGGTATTGTTCTAAAAGGTGCTTGATTTCCAGGCATCTCAAGGGTAAAATCCCTCCACATGTTTATCCATTCAGGAACATTTGACATATATCACTGTGAACCTTAAAAGCACTCTCCTTGAAAATACTTCATGTATTCCAATATATTCATGTTCTGGGCTCCCTATTACTCATGCCACTGCAGGGCAGATAACAAGGAAATTTAAATGCAACAGAAAGTTTCATATCAAGTGTTTCCGATGCACACGAATTATTAAGATGAATTAAAACTATAAATCACTTTCCAACCCGCAAAAGCAAACTCTGGAATCAAAATAGCTGCTGTGATAAAAAAAAAAAAATCTAATATAGTATTGTTAATAGATGTTGCAAGCATTTAATTAGATCAGTTTTAGCTGCCAACCACCCCGACAATGTGAGCTTTGATTGTCAGTGATAGGTGGTATCAGTTCTGGGAGTGATCATCACCCTCATTCCCAATCAACATGCTCTATGAGCACTGATTATCTCCACTGAAATCCAACAAATAAAGTCAGAGAAAGGAATTAACGTGCACATCTTTGTAATCCGCTAGAGGACTATCAAGGCAATACAACAACTTCAGGAAAACAACTCTCGAACCCGTAAACAAAGGGCTTAGAAAGTGAGTATAACCACGTAAAGATTAGACCTGAAGAACTAATCAATGCAGCAGCTCAGCAGAGCAAGTACAGCAGGTCCTTTGTGCCCTGCGGGAAACCAACAGGAAGCAATTTAATTCCATAATTATTTGCCCAAACTCTGTAAAATGAAGTAAAGCAGCCAGGTCTTATTTTACGGTAACTAGGCTTGATCATTCAGTATTTTCCAAGCTGATTCACTACTGAACATCACCATCTTATTTCAAGAGCTGATTTCTAGAAATGCTCACAACCAAGTTTTTGTGTTAGATCCTGCCTGAATTCCCAAATTAAGTTAGAAAGACTATTCCAAAAGAAAAATGTGAGTTCAACTGGAATATCTGAAGCAACTCACCTTCACTTTCAGATTTGATATAAATAAATAAATAAAAAATAACCTAGAAAAAGGTACCCAAAGTCAGCATTGAAGTCATTAAAACCAGAAAGGTTTTAATTTCCATCAACATCCTTCCAAACTGTTGTAGTAACACTGGAGAAATGTTTGAGCAGGACTGTGTAGTTACAAATACAGGATTTGAAGAGAACCAAGCACAAGTAACATTTCTTTACACCACCATAAAATATAGTGCAATATTTTTAACAGCTTTTGGTCACTGAGGCTACAACCAACTTCTGTGCATGTCCACTGACTGACCAGCCTTGTGTAAATTAAAAAACAACCCCCCCCAAAATAATAAACCAGCCTGCTCCTTAAGCGTGCATTTACTTTTTTTGTCATCACAGATTTAAAATTCTTTTTATCATTAAAAACAATACAAAAACCCAACTGCTTTCAAGATTCACTAATTTAGCAGCAAATAGCCACAAACTGCTCCATGTAGATTAATGACACATTGCTGGTAACAGCATGTGTTCTTAACTAATTATAACTTGAATATATTAATATCTCAGACTGAACAGTTTATTCAGTTCAACAGTTTGTTATATTGGCTCTTGGATTTGTCTGTTTTACATTATTCTACAAAAAAAGAGAGAAGTGCAGGGGTGGTGCTCAGGGACACGGTTTAGTGCTGGACCTGGCACTGTGAGCTTAATGGCTGGACTCAGTGATCTTACAAAGTCAATCAATGATTTGATGATTTCTAAAGAGCCCTTTACAAAAAATGGAAGAAAAATACAGTGGTCCCTAACTCAGATGCCAATAAATTAGCAAGACCTTTACTCCTCAGAATTTAAAATTTCACAACTTTAGCTGCTTCTCCAGTTCTAAAAAAATTTAATCCAACCACACGGGAAAAAAGCCTTCAGCACTTATTTTCTGTAACAGATTCAGATGTTTCAAGAGGACAGAACAGAACGTTGAGGGGCAAGCAGCCTCTACAGTGCATCCAACAAGACCTCTCCTTCCCTCAGTCAGTGCTGTGAATACAAACGGCAGCGATACTCCTTGCAATTGGAATAAGCTCAGTGCTATAATGAAAGCCTATTTAAAATCAATAAAATCAGTCCTGCTTTTGGGAGCTATGATTACTTTGGTCCACTGGTACTGCTTGCAGCAAAAATGAACAGCTTGTTCTCAGCCCACTGCTGTGTATATTTAACTACTGAATTCTTGATCGTGAAACAATATAGTGAGAAGCAGAGTTCTGCCAGTTATATGCTATGCTAATTTATTACCTGTGAACAACTTTCCATTATTATTGATACGACTGCGTGACTGCAAATTAGGCGTGTTAACAATTACATTAAAATGTGCTGTAGCTTATCAAAAATAAACTGCTGTAAAGAACAGACCATGTAGGACTGCACAGCAATGGGTCTCATGCTCGCCTGTTTATGAACAAAAGGTTTTCTACCAGAGAGAGCTCAGGACTACTTTGACAAGGCATCCCACACCACAGAATTAGAGCATGGGACAAAGGGAGGAGGTCTCACACGAATTCCTAATCACATTTCTGTCTCACCACGAGACTTTCAGAAGTTCGGCTTCCCTGTCTGCAGGGGCTCTGTGTAAATTAATTAGTGTCTGCACCTTCTTTAAAAATGCAGAACCTGTTTCAGTATTACATTAGTGTATTTTTACCCCAGTGTAAGGCAACTGAGCACAGAAGGGCTGACTCCAAACCCTGGCAGCAGCAGCAAAGTGTCCCTGGAAAATGCCCTGATCTCTCTTGGAATGAGCTCAGCACACGTTGCAAAGCAGACGAGAGCATCCCACTGCCATGGGAGCAGCACAGTAAAGACAAACTGAGGACATGTCAAATCAAGGTTTTACAGAAGCTCTGTCTCCTTACTGACCCAAACACTGAGTTTATAAACACACAAGAGCTATTTCCACGAAGGCAGATGGGGTTAACCAGACTCCTCCTCCATTCATCCTTCAGGATGCACAAAGGACCCCAGCCCACCATGGCCAGGCAAATGGTCACTTGTTTTTAAGAACTTTGCTGGTCTCCCTTCTTTAGGTAAAGTCATTAAGTTGTGCTTGCCAAGCAGAATTCTTGGGAGTGCTTCCCCCTTCCCAAATCCTGAAAGAGCTGAATGAGGTACATGAATCTGCAACCAGCTCCGAATTCTCCACCTCTACAAAGAGGCAGAGGCCAACCTGAAGATGAATTTACCTGGTAAGAACGTTCTGAGGGACACAAATCTCTGTTTTGTTTGGACATGTGCAACTTCAAGCTTTGCTTTCGCCAGTAATGTTTTAGTTCACATCTACCTCATGGTTGTCTAGAATACTACTCCATGAAGGACTGGCTGGGACTCTCACTGGATGACCAGTTCCCTCTCTGTATATGCTGAACACGGATTTCCTAAAACTCAGCAGTAAATTCAGTGCTTCCTTTCCCAAAGCAAGGGGTTTTCCCCCATTCTGCTTGACAATTTTGCTTTCATAACACGGAAGGGTTGAGGAGAACAGGGCAGACATTTTCTGACAGCAATTAAACTTCATTCTGGAGAGCACAAGAACTATAAAGATACCAACAAATCCCAGAACACCTACATGCTGTTCCTAC